CCCAGCCAGGGCACAAACTCAACTAGAATTCCTGGAAGAGATGAAGCAAGAGTTTTTAAAAAAATCCTCAAACTCTTTTTTTAAACTTTTGCTTCGTCTCTTCCAGGAAAACAGATCAAGGAGAAAAACTTTAAGAGTCATTAACATCACATCAGAACATCGCATTTCAAGAAATCTTCAAAGAAAATTATCCATGTCTCTTAGAACCAAAAGGCAAAATGGAAACAGAAAGAATCCACTGGACATCTGAAAGAAACCCAAAAAAGAAAACTTCCAGGAACAAAATCCAGAGCTTTCGGTCAAAGAAAAAATACCACAAGTAGCCAATAAAAAAGAATTCAAGTACCAAGGAGCCACAGTCAGGATCATACACAATTTAGAAGCCAAAAGGAGTGGAGAACATGGAAGACATGACATTCCAGAAGGCAAAGGAAATGGGCTTATAATAAATTATCAAGAATAACTTACCTGAAAACTGAGTATGATGCTACAAGGGAAAATGGATCTTTAATGAAATAGAGAACTTTGAAGCATTCCTGATAAAAAGAACAGAACTGGCAAGAAATTTTGAAATTCAAACACAAGAATGAAGAGAAATTAAAAGGTAAACATGAATGAGCAATGAAAAAGGATTAACAAGGATAAATGCTTACATTTAAATATGGGGAGTCCATAATCAGAGGGTATCTCCTCTGATCCCTATCATCATCAGGGTTCATAGAAGGATTGAAATTAGGCAAGGCCTGGGAGTAATTTGTTATGTCTTCATTGTCTTAAGAAAAGGAGGAATATACTGAAGGAGGGGAAGGGAAAAGAAGGCTAAGGAAAATTATCTCACACACTTGGGCACAGAAATGCATTTCAGACAACAGGGAAATTGGAAGAAAAGAGGGGAAGCAAGGAGGGGGAATTAGAGGGAGGATAGATTAAGGTAGAGATTAGTCCTAAGCAAAACAAATTTTAAGGATGTACAAAATTTTTATAGCTCTTTTTGAGGTAGCAAAGAATGAAAATCTGAAGAAGTGCCCATAAATTAGGGAATGGTTAAACAAGTTTTGACATACAGATGCAATAGAATACTATTGCACTGAACCCTTAATGTGATTTCATTGTTCATCCTTTATTCTCCAAGGACCAATGACATTAAGAGGGTGATGTAATGACCAGGATTCCGGAGGAATGCAGAATGAGACATACATGTGTGTGTACGTACATATGTATGTATATACATATATGCACATACATACTTATATACATATATGTTTTAGAACATGGCCAATGGGGAAATTTGGTATGATTGACTATACATGTTTGTAATGGTTTTTTGTTTTTCTTGTCTTTTTAATGGGAGTGGGGGCAGGGAGGGGATTGGGGCAGGAGGATGAAAAAGTAGATTTTGGTTGATTAAAACAAAATATTTGTTGTACATGTGTATGTGTACATATGTACACACATATATCTATGAAATCTTGAGAACTCTGATCAACACAATACCCGATCATAATTTTGGAGGGTTCATGATGAAACATGCTGCCTACCTCCTGACAAGAGAGTGTAGATTTGTAGTGTAGATTGAGTATAGATTGAGATTAGAGCGTAGATTGAGACTTTTTTTTTTAAGATATAACCGATGAGAAATTGTACTTTGCTTGACTAGACATGTTTGTGACAGGGTTTTTGTTTATCTTGCTTTCTCAGTGGTAAGGTGGAGGGAGGCTAACTAGGAAAGAGAGAAGGTTGTTCTTTGTTTGAAAACAAAATAAAATTCATGTTGATTTTTTTTAAAAAGAACTAAACTAGGCTGGAGTTTAACTGAGTTTATAGAATCAGATTTAGAGTGGGAAGAGGCCCTAAAAGCCATCTAGTCCAACCTTCTCATTTGCATATAAGGAAGTTAGGGCCCTAGAAAGTTCAGTGATTTGCAAAAGGTCACAAGGGGAACCAGCATCAGAGATAGGTTGTGAACTGAGGTTCACTGACTCCAGAGTCTATGCTCTTTTCACATTCCCAGAATTTCCCATACCCTGCTACCTTTAGAAATTCTCATTGCTTACTTTTTGTTTATGGTGGCATAGAAATACTCCATTAAATTAGTTACATTAAATAAATCTATAAGGTAAATATATGTGTGTGTGGATAGATAGACAGACAGACAGATAGATAGATAGATAGATAGATAGATAGATAGATAGATATAGATAGGTAACACTTCTTTTTACTTTGTGTATACTTTGTAGTAACTTATTTAAAATGTTTGAATATCAGGAAGACTCATGTTCCTGAGTTCAAATCTGGGAAAATCACTTAAATTCTCAGTGCTCTCTAGGTAAACTAAGACTATAAATTACAAAGAAGTGCCAACCTGCATTGGTAGTGGAAATTTTCTTACCTGAAAGTTGCCCATATCAATGAAATCAAGGGTTTAGTCCCCATCTCTACTCTAATCCATGAAGATGTTGAATAGAACAGAATTGAAGACGATAAAATGAGCCCACTAAATTTTTATAATCTGAGTGTGGAACAATAGATGAAAATCCTGCAAAATCTCACTCCTCTGGAGTTTTCCATGACTAGCTTTCACTCTTCTGATGTAGTGTGAAAACAATAACAGAGTATGGGATGTTCTGGCACAACCAACAAGTTACTTTTTCAGTTACCATGACTACTTCCCAGAGCTGTTATTTCCACCATGGCTAGATATAAATTAAAATGTGGAGGGGATGAAATTTTCCATGTCTTTGGTGAAGTCCCCATTCCCCCTAAGTGTCCTCCCATCATTCTACTAGCAACCTTAGCTGCCCAGGGCCCTCAATGTGGAGCCCAACTTCAAAATGTACCTATCATATTTAAAGCCTATTCCTCAAGACCCTGCTCTGTTACTCAGCTAGCTGAAAAACAGTCAATTGTGATAATGAGTTAACATGTTAACTGAGGTGTCAGCTCTGATCACTAGAGATGTTCAAACAGAATAGGCTATCCATTTGCTCTAGAGGGTATAATAGAGCAGATTGCCATTTGTAGTTGAATATGAACTGGAGGGGCAGCTAGGTGGCACATTGGATAAAGCGCTGGGCCTGGAATCAGGAAGGCTCATGTTCCTGAGTTCAAATCTTACTAGCTATGTGTCCCTCAACAAGTCATTTAACCCTGTTTGCCTCAGTTTTCCTCATCTGTAAAATGAGCTGGAGAAGGAAATAGTAAACCACTCCAGTGTCTTTGTCAAGAAAACCGCAAATGAGGTCACAAAGAGTCACACAAGCCTGAAAAACAACCCAACAACATGAATTGGAGATAGTGAAGTAGAACAGAAAGAGCAATGGATTTCAAATTAAGATCAAAGGACCTGGATTTGAATCTTGGTTCTGCTGTCTGACCTTGGACAAGTGTCTTTTGATACTTTTTTCTCTTCCGTAAAATGAGGGAGTTAGACCAGACTCTAAGGTCACATAAGCCATAAACCACAGGAACAGAGTCCTCTCCCTCCTGGGTGAAGCTGGGTCACAAACCCAATTTCTGCCACACCTCCTCTGTTCAGTACAGAAAAAAGGGGCAGGCTAGTTATCAGGGACACCTTTGGCCATCCAGCCACCAGCTAGAGATCAAAATGAATGGGGTAAGAAGGAGGGCATCACACACTCTACCACCACCTGGTGGTCTTTGGTGGCATAACCATCCACCGACTCACTGAAAAGAATTCTGATTTATCCCTCAGCCAAGTCTCTCTCCCTTCTTTGTATTCTGCCCCACAAACCACCCCCTCTTCCAGGAGAAATTTTTTCACTCCCTATTCCTGAGCAGTCTGGACCCTAAGGAGGGGCCTGACCTCTGAAGAAGTGTCTGTCCCTCTCCAGAACCTGAGTACTTCAAATTCCTTGAGTAGCACCAAACGTGCCAATCACGAGACTAAGTTGCAAGTATGATGAAATACAAGAGTGTCCCTGAAATACAAGAGAGTTCTGTGTTTGCACAGAAATGCATTGTTTGTACATCCCTATCTTGCCTTCTTTGCTCTTTTTCTCCCCAAACAGTAAAATTAATTCAGTTCTTCATTTAGGAAATACCCCCAAATTCCAAAGCTCACGTATCCAGGTAGAGAATAATACTGAGCAGGGAAAGTGGTCAAGTCACTTTCTATATACCAGACACCGGTACCAGGCTCAGGGTTGCCTTGGGAATCTTTAATCACATTTGGATCTGATTCTGTAACCGTGGCAACTGACTACCAGGGACTCCCACCATAGACAGAGACCTGGGACTCAGTTTTCCCGCTCTCAAAAGGCTCTCAATCCTCTCATCCCATCCTACCCTTGCTTCAATTTCAGACCTAGATAACCACGGAGAGGAGACCTGAGGAGGATCTATATTCTGAGGCAGATTGTTTTAAAGAAGATAAAAAGGGCAACAAGATATGTAGTGGGGAAAAAAACACTAGAGTCGAAATCAGAGATTATATTTGAATTCCCAGTTCTGTTTCTTTACTTGTCTGATTTTATGAGTCAGAACCTCTGTTTTCTCACCTGTAAAATGAGGTTAGACTAAATGACATCTCTGAGTCCCTTCAACTCTAAATCTTGTACTCGTTACTACAGGGCAAAATGACACCATTCGTTATGCTTCAGCCACCAATCAAATGGAGGTGGGGGGAATCTTGTTGCCCTACGGACCTAATTAAGAACGAATCTCCCTAGCAGCCCAACACCTACAGAGCCTCAGTCCGTACCCCAATGCTAATCCTCCAGCCCGTATCCTGGATCCCTCAGACCCAGTTTCAGCCCCTTAAACCTGTCATTAATTGGGTCGAAGTCACCGAAGGGCACTTATGGCAGGGGAAAGAAGACAAAAACACGGGATGAACCTCACTCTTTTCCGTTCTCAATCATATCAGCTGCTACCTCTCTACACTTCTCATTCTTCTGTCTCAAGATGGGGTTGGTCACCAATTCTCACGAGTCTCGTCCGGCGTTCTGATCCTGGCTTTCGGGCCCCGATAGAAGGAGCGATATCAGGATGCAAGACTCCTCTCTCTATCCCGAAGGTTGGTCGGGAAAGTGAGAAGGTCTCCCTGAAATTCGGGGCGTCACAATGCCACAGGATCACCATAGCAACCGCCTCTTTTCTCTGGCCGAGTCCTGGGAGTCTGGGGCGTCCGGCCACACTCCAGCCCTGTGGCTCCGCTCTGCTTCCGAGGCTACGGCAAGTCCCTAGGGGTGCGTGAACGACCGGGTGTGGGGAGTGGAGCTTGGCTGCTAAAACTCTCGATCCTGGGGGTTTGGGGAGGAACAGGAGCAGCATGGAAACACTTTGGGTTTGAGGGAGTCTGGAGGGTGGAAATGGGATGGGATGAGTTCGGATAATTGAGGTAGGGGTTGTGAAGGGTTCTTCAAGAGATCATGGGTCAACAGAGGTTGCTCCCAGCTCCATGAGCAGTCCTGAGGCTCAGGTGACTTCTCAGCCAAGATAAACAGATCCCCATATAGTCAAGAATGGGGCTGGCAGCATTTATGGCACTGGGGGGGGCAAAGATTGAGACAGGCTTTCAGCAAGGGGCTAGCTAAAGGCCAAATGTTATCTACTGGATGCAGAATTTGAACCCTGGTTAGGTTGCCCAAGGGCAGAGAAATAATGCAAATCCCTTCAACATTGGAGACTCAGAGTTCTGGCTTCTCACCAAAACCCGAAGATGCCCTCCCTGCCCCACTTCCTTCTAGACTTCAGGTTGGGAGACAGCCCTCAGGGCAAGGCCAGTGTGTCGTGTTTTCTAGACAATCAGGTTAACAGTGTTCTCCCCAGAATCCAAATTCCTTCCTGAAGGTCCCAGAATACAACTTTGTAACCCATTCTGAAAATCAGGGATGCTCTGTCCAATATGCTCAGGGGGTATCCATTCTGCTAAATTCAGCTTTTGCAAGACAAGCATAGTGAGAAAAAAATGAGAAGAAAGGGTTGAAGAAGGACCCATCCATGAATATCCCCTTGAGAATTCACCATTCTAGACCTTGGGGCTGCAAATTCATGCCTTGTACTTTCTAACAGTGTTTATTAAATAATCTATGTGTACCCAGCCCTCTAAACTACTCCCCCAAACTAGATCCAGATACTAGAAGTGGCCATGAGTAGACCCATCCCCTGGGATGATCCTATGAGCAGCTGATGGCCAACAATGGGGATGCTGGAACCTTTTCAGTGGTGCATTTGAAATAGCACCAAATTTGGGAGTGTGCAGGCATATGTTAGATTCCTCATTCCGCCATTAACTCACTGTGTGACTTTGGACAAAACACTTAATCTCTCTAGCAGTCATTTTCTAATTTTTAGCAAGGAGACAATATCTACCCAAAGGTTTGTTTCTGAGGACCTAAGGATTCTATCAAATAGCTCATATTTCTAGAACTTATTTTCTATTCCACAGCCCATCCCTAGACTATCTCATTTTATCTTCACAACAAGCCCAATGAGATAGATAGTACAAGTATAATTATTCCCATTTTATAGAAGAAAAAATGGAGGATCAGGGAGGTTAGGTGATCTGCCCAAAGTCACAAACAGGTAGCAAGTGGTGGGAGCAGAATTTGAACCTGTCTTCTAACTCCAAGTCCAGGGTTCTTTCCATTTCAGCAAGCTGCCTCTCAAAATATAAAGCAAATATAAGGAATGATTATTAAGAAAACACCAAAAAACAGTCCTAATCCCTGGTGACCTCAGTTTATCCCTCTCTATTTCCCAATTTTTATTCAGAAAATCAGCACTTTTCCCTCCCTACCCTGAGCAGAGAAGAGACAGAGGTCTGGGTATAGATGGACTTAAGTCACCGCCAGCACTTTCCCACAGGATTGTCTTTCCAGGAAAGATTGGAAGAAGGGTTAGAGTCAGTTTGGACTACTAAACTACCAAAGTGTCTAAGGGCTCAGGCCATGCTCACTCACTCATTCCCACTTCCTAGAAAAGGCCAGTTGGGCAGGTTATCCCTGGCCCACACCCCATTGCCCTTAGTAGTAAAGTCCTATCATAGGACTAACCTACCCTTTTGCCCTTTCTCTGGAGAAACATCAATGGTCTGTGTCTAGTAGCCTATCAGTCTGAGTCCAGCCAGTTTTGGGAAGGGTGTCCCACAGTTATTGGGAAAATGTCCACTTACCCAGCCTGGTGAAGTACAAAGAATTAGGTTTGGAGTCAGAGAACCTGAATTCAAATCCCAGCTCTGTTCACTGACCTCAGGCGAGTCACTTAAACTCTCTGGGTCTCACTTTCTTCCTCTGTCTAAGGAAGGGGTCAGAATAAAGGACCTTGAAGGTCCCTTCCAGCTCTAAATCTATGATCCTACCTTCAGGGGGAGTCTAATCTTGGTGGAGTAGAGTCACTCACCCATCTCCTTCTCAACTATGGTCCTCAGTTCCCTCCTTGCAGAGCCCTGAAAAGATGAGCTTCGGGGCAATGGACCTGGGCCTAAACAGGATGAAACTGGGCAGCCCACAGAGCCTCCAGTCTCTAGAGGAGGAGCAGCAGCCAGAGACTGAGGCCTGGAGGACATACACAGATCGGAGGAACATTCTCCGGGAGTTCCTGACCTCGGATCTGAGCCCCCACCTCCTGAAACGCCACCATGCCCGAATGGAGCTGCTAAAGAAGTGCTCCTACTACATCGAGATCCTCCCAAAGCACCTGGCCCTAGGTGACCAGAACCCCCTGATGCTGCCTAGCACCATGTTCCAGCTTATTGACCCCTGGAAATTCCAGCGCATGAAGAAAGTGGGTACAGCCCAGACCAAAATCCAGCTGCTTCTGCTCAGTGACCTACTGGAACAGCTGGACAGAGGGCGGGCCAAACTAGTGGCCCTCTTGGAATCACATGACACGCTCCCCTTCCTGTCTTGCTGGGACACAGTGGAGCAGAGGCTGGCAGACTTGTCGGCAGTAATGGACAACTTCCTAGCCATGATGGTGCCAGGCCGTCTGCACATCAAGCATCGTCTGGTGTCAGACATTGGTGCCACCAAGATCCCCCACATACGGCTGATGCTGAGCACCAAGATGCCAGTGATGTTCGACCGCAAGGAATCAGTGGCATACCACGATTGGGCAAGCCTGCGCTGGTTTGTGACAATCCAGCCAGCCGTGCCTGAGCAATTCGAGCTCCGCTTCAAGCTCCTGGAGCCCCGGAGTCAGCAGGAGCGGGTGCAATGCGGTGTCATCCCTGTGGCCACCTGTACATTTGACATCCGAAACCTGCTGCCCAGTCGCACCTACAAGTTCACAGTCAAGAGGGCTGAGAGCTACACACTTGTGTATGAGCCATGGAGGGACAGCCTCACCTTGAAAACCAAGCCAGCACCCCCAGAGGGGGCTCACACCCCAGAGAGCAGGGCCAGCCTGGCCTGCCCCTGACCACAGAGCCTGAGAGACAATTTTCTAATATTTATCCGTTAATAAAAAGGAGTTTAAAAAAGGGCAAAATTAAAAAAAACAACTTATTTTTAAAGGTAACAGCAGCCACACGAGTGTTTTTCTGACTCGGCCAAAGCGATCGCCCCAAGCAGCCTCCATTAGCCCTGAGTTCCCATTGATGCATCCCCAAGGTTCCTCCTTTCTTAAAGGGCATCACAGTATCTCCTCATGTGGGCAGGAAACGTCAGTCTCTTCAGATAAGGCCATGTTGATACAAGTAAAACATGGTTAGGGAGAGAGAACCTATGTCCACCACTTCCCCATGCCCGCGTGCCCCGCCCCCAGTTTCAATTGTCCATTTGAGTTGCCTTCCTAATTCTTGACTGGGCAGTTTTTATCCTCACTTCCACCCACTGAAGGCTCTAAGGGTTTGGAAATGCCCTAGCAAGGTTGGAAAAAGAAGAGATAGACAGCTAGAGATATGCACTAGTATGAGTAGGAAAAGTTCCAGGCACTTGAATCTAATAGCCAACTGACTCCCTTCTCCTGGGCTACTCTAAGCCTAGGATTCCTGCCATGACCCCAGGCAGAATGGCAACTTCCCCAAGGCCCAGTCTTCTAGACTTTGAATTATCAGAGAGAATCAGAGTTCTGAGATTAAGACCCCTGGTATTCCTATGGCTAGCCTCTACTGACTTCAATCATCTTCAGGCACCATTCCAGGCATGTCATGGGGTATGACAGAAAGAGCCTTTAACAAGGAATTAACAAAATCCTAGTCTAGAATGTCACTACTTTTCTGTATGACCTTGGGTAAATCATTTCACCTCTCGAAGATCTAATTTCCCTCATTTGTGAAACAAAGGTGATTAACTAGCTGCTCTATAAGGTCCTTTCCAACTCTAACATCCTAGTATATTAAATTACTTTACAACTGTGGGCCTGATTCCTATCAAATGGGAAAAAATATTGCCTGACTACTGTGGGAATCAAATTAGATAATGAATGAGAAAGAAATGTAGAAATGTAGCACTGCAGAGATATTAGAGATTAAAAATACTAGGTTGGCCCAGGAGTGTCCAATTTCATCCAGGAAACCTGAAACCTGAAGCAGCTCCCTGAGACTAGGGTTAACACTCCTCCCCAGGCCTCACTGAGCATGATATCTCCAATGCTCCTTCTCCATAACCTTTACACTTTCTCTCCTCTTAATAACTCTTAATAACTACAGAGGTTATTAGACCCAGGGAATATTCCCTGCCCAGGAAAGTCAAGCCCAGAAGTCATGTCTCCCTCCTCTGTCTAGAGCACAATAAAATAGCTCAAAGGTCTATGGCTCAAAAGAACTTTTATTATAAAATAACCCTAGAAAAGTTTTCCTTCTCCTGAAGAGAAGCTGAACTTAATCTCTAATTCTGCCCCTTTGCCCCCAGCCCCTGGCTGAGGGTCCTGAGGGGCAGAGGAATTGGTTGGAGGCAGCATCATGGGATTCCCCATGGTTACTCTTTTCTCACCTGCTCCTCCAACCCATTGACTTTCTTCACCAGCTCCTGGTGGTCCAGACCTACACTGGCAATCAGCCCTTCCTTGTTCCCTGGGGAATCCAGGTAATCAATGTCCTTCCCATCTAAGGTAGTCATGTGGCCTCCTAGGGCTGAGAGCACTGCATTCCCTGCACAGATGTCCCACTTCTTGATGAAGGTGATGTGGAGGTAGGCATCTGCTTGATCTGGCTGTTCAGCCTTGTTGAGGTTCAAGAGGGATAGTACCTTATACCCTTTGGAAAGCAGGAAGCATTCCCTTAGCTGGCCAGAAAGCCACGGTCTTCCCATCCCACCCCACCCCCCATACATCCATAATTCCCACAAATCAGAGCAGGCCAAAATCCTCCCCATAAGGAGCAATGGGGATATGTCCCCAAGAAAGTGGCCTAGCCAGGGGAAGAACAGAGAAGAACCAGCCCCATTTCCCTGCTTCCTGGATCCAAGCCTGCCCATCTCCAAGGGATATTATCTCTGTCCCTGCTCCCAGCTTCCACCTGCCCATGGTCCATAATGTACATTTTGCTATTTTCCCATTTACCTGCTCCCCCAGCAGGGATGATGTTCACGTTGATCCCAAAAGCTTTCTGACTAAAGGTGCGCACAGTCCCAGCATGGGATCGAGAAACAATGAGTCGGGGACTCCTTTCATCATATGACTCCCGGGCACTCACATTGGCCCCATGTCCAACCAGTGCCCAAGCTACAAAGAAGGAGTTGTGAGTGGGTAGGTACCTGGCATGATGCTAAGGGAGGTCAGAAGAGCCATAAGGGGAAGACAGACACAGGGGAGTCACTTTAGGCCAATATCTGGACTCCTCCCTCAATGAGAAGCATGAGATTTCCCCTAGACTAGGAACAAGGTCCCTTCTCCAATTCCTCCACCACCGCCACCGCCACTGCCACCGCCACCACCCCCCCCCCCCTCAGTTCCATGTTCCCTACCTGTGAACCCTGTAAAGGGCTTGTGGATTACTCCAATGACTGGCTTCCCATCCACTGCCACACACACCATTGTGGTCACATAGGACAAGAGACCCTCTAGGGACACAAGGACAAAGATGAGCAGCAAGGTTGAGGAAATATCAGCCACAGGATAGATATGGTACAATCTCTGTAAGAATCCCACTTCAATACTAACTCTGGTCTTGAGTAGGAAGAGAGGGGAAGGGTCCCCTTTATCATCACAGTATTCTCTATTGAACTTCAATTCCAAAAAGCTGAAAAAGAAGTGGGCTCCCAAATCCATCCCCTGGTTCCTAGGTTCCCTTCCCAGCATCTCTGATCATTATTCCACAAACCTGTGTATTCCTGTGTAGCATCCAAAGGATCAATCCAGACCGTCACACTTTCCATAGACACTGTCTGGCCACTTGGGACCATTTCCTGGATTTCCAGGGGGATCTTTCCGTCCCAAGGTTCTGAAAGGTCCAAGGCAGCTTCATCATGCTCCTCAGAAATTACCTGAGGAGTGAGTCAGCTGTCACCCTGAGCTAGAAGCACACATTCCCCCCCCCCAAAAAAAACCATACATACAACACACAATGTTGGGAAAAGAGGGCTTAGGCAGTGGAGAAAGGTAAAAGAAAGGTATAACTCTGCGGTTCAGCCTCAAGACAGCTGATTAACTGTTCCCCGGGAAAGGGGAAACTATTCACCTTGCGTGATCCTGCAATCTCAGCTAACGTTCCTACACACATCGCTAGTGTAGGCTTCAGGGGCCTGAATTCCACTCAGTCCTTACTCTCCCCAGGGACTCTGAATGAGTCTTTGCTCTCCTATGGTTTGTTTCCTTGGTAGGTTATGAGCCCTAGCCAAGGTCAGGGATTTGGGGAGAGGATTCGGGAACCCGCCCAAAAACCCATGCTGGGATGCTCTCAAGATGCCTGGATCGAGCAGTGCTTCAGCGTCGCCCCCACCGCCACCCACCCAAACGTGGACCCTCACCCGAATGCCGGGAAAGGTGCTGGCCCACAGGCTGGCCATGCAGCGGTGGGACTGCAGATCCCCCGCGGTGAGCAGCTCCTCTGCGCCCTCCTGGGTTTGGCCCTTGCTTCTCTGCTGCAGATCCGGCCCGGCTTCATGGACAGCCCGAACCCTGCGGCCCCCGGCCTCGGCCGCAGCCACTGACAGCGCCAAGAGCTCCCGCAAGTCCAGCCGCTGGCCTCCACCGGCCGCGCCGAGCAGCGACGGTAGCACCAGGAAGCCACAGGCCGCCAGCAGCAGCACCAGCAACGCCAAGGCCGGGCGAGGGAGGCGCCGACCCAAAGCGGCCATGAGCCCCACCTCCCGACGCGTCGGCTGCAGAGGAGGCCTGGCAGGGCCCCAGTCTCTGCCCCCGCAGCCCCTGCAGCCCCTGCAGCGCCTCAGCCCCAGACTCCAGCGCCTTCCGCCCCCATCCGCCTCCTTCCGCAAAACGCTGCGACCCGCCCCTTCCACGTTGCCTCTGGCCTTCCTCACTGCGCCTGGGGGTGTGGCTGTCTCTGCTCTCTCAGTCTCTCCAGCACGGGCGCTCGTGCTCTAGGTTTTACTGATTTTTTTTTTCCAAAGAGGAGTCTTTTCTAACAAAATTAAAACAATTAAGCAAAACTAACACTATAGTGACCCCATCTGAAAGTGCACGCGACGTTCCACATTTGTAGCACCCCTGACCTCTCTAATAAAAAAGAATCTTTTAATGAACAGAATTTTTTTTTCTCTTCATATCACTCAGCACCCCCATTTAAAAAGAAAAAAGAGAAACAAATTCCTTGTAACAAACACGTATAGTCAAGCAAAAAAATTCCCTCATTGGCTGTATACAAAAATATTTCATTCTGCACACTAAATCTGTCAATTCTCTCTCAGGAGATAGATACTATGTTTCTGTCGTGCATCATCTAGAATACTGAATGAGTGATTGAATCGATCATAGCTCTCACAGCTTTAAAATTGTTTGTCTTTACAGAGATGCTATTATTGCATAAATTATTGTCCTGGTTCTTCTCTTTACAGTCAGTGTACAGGTCGTATATATACTAAAATATATAGCACCTCCTGCGGTTCCCAGTCACTTTCTCTCTATCTCTAGTCCTCTCTGCCACCTTATCTGTTCCTCTCTCCTTGCTCCTTAGGTGTCGTCCTTATTCTTTCCTCCTGTTCTTCACTGTCTTTCTGGCTGACTCCATTCTGTCACACACACACACACACACACACACACACACACACACTTTTTTTCCTGTCTCTCTGTCCCTCCCTATTTCTTTCTCTTAACCTATCCCTGCTTCTATATCTTTTGCAGGGCCTCTGCTTCTGTGTTTTGTTTTGTTTTGTTTTGTTGTTTGTTTGTTTGTTTTGGTTTCTTATACTTAAGGAGCAGCTCAAGGATTCTTCCAGCGCTTCTGCCTTTCCCAGAGCCCAAGAGTCAATAGGGTAGCAGATTTGAAGACAAGAAGACCTGGGTTCAAATTCTGCCTCAGATGCTTACAAACTTGGTGACCCTAGGCAAGCCACTTAACCTTTCTCTGCTCTGCCTCACTGTCATCGGTAAAATGAAGATGTTGTTGGAGCTCAAAAGAAGAAATCTATGGTCCTATGATGAATGTCCCAGGGAAGGAAGAGCTCAACCTTTTCTCCTGGGATCCAACCTGGAGGCAAATGCCAGGAATAGGTCCTGAAGCAGCTCTGACTGGTTTCCCTGAGGTTAGAGGACAGTGAAACAACTGGAACTCAGGCCTTTTTCCAAGGCCTCATACTTTTTTGGGCCCTGATTATGTCTTACTTCTCTATTTCTCCCATCTTTGCCCATCGCACATAAAAGAGGAGGCACCCTCATTCCCATTCTCTATACACACAAAAAAAAGACACTTACACCTGTCCCCTCCCCCCCTAAAATGTAAGGTCCTTGAGCAGAGATTGTTTTGTTTTTAACCCTAGCACAGTGTCATGCTTATAGTAGAATCTTAATAAATGTTTGTTAAATAGGATTAATATACTGTTTTCACAAAGACACATCCAGAACTCTGACTAGCAATTTTTTAGTTGAGCCTTCTCAACCTACCACTGACCCTCATTTGGGGAAGGGAAGGAGAAGAAGTGGGAAACAAAAACTCCTGGATGCAGGCCTAGCTGCTGGAGAGACTTTTGTGCACTTGGAGGATGAGGTAGAAATCAGAACATGGGATGGAAAGGAACCTCCCTTAGCTGGCCTTCTAGTAGCTTCCTCTTTTTAACTAAGTGCTAAGGTCTATTGTGTACTGCCAAAAGACCACAGGAGCTACGAACACTTGATAAATTCTGTTTTCTGGGTTAAAGACCAGTTACCTCCACCCTTGTTGTGGCTCTAACTCCCATAACCACACTAAGGGGTAGACACTCCCATTTCCACATACACAGAGGGACAGACACATGCCCTGTAAACAACATCATCTCTTGTGACTTTGGAAGAGATGAGCTACATTTTGAAGTATTTTTTATTTTTGAGGTCACTAGAACACCATCTTCACCATTTCTCTTTTTTTCTTTCTCTTTTTTCCCTTCAGTAGCACAAGGAAATAATTAGTTATTCAAGTGATGAAGGAGTAATATAGACAGAGTACTACAAATCATCCATGAATTCAGGCTTCCTGACTATCTGAGATCATTAAGAAAAAATAAGCAAAAGTGTGATCCATCCATGCACAGATAGGCAGATTCCAATGTAGGGGTTTCCTGGAATGGAGCACGTTTTTGTCTTCCAGAGTAGTCTCTCCAGAGAGAAAGAAAAACAATGGATTAATCTAGGCTTTGAGAACTCTGGCTTGATAAACTACCTTCAAAACAAACAAATTATGAACCACCTATCTGGAACTGAGGAAATTTTTTTCGGTTTTGTTCTCTAAACACCCCTCAGAATTAAAAAAGGACATGAGAGGTATGGTTGCCAACCAGCTAAGCTAGTGTTTTATCACAAAAGCTGATTAATTAGTTTTTTTTACCCATATATCTTGTTGTGGATTTCTTTTTGAGATTTAATTTCAGTAACTCTGATCAGAAGTCACCTAGTCCAATTCATTCTTCAACAGGGACAGGCACTCCCACCTAGCTGAAATAGCAAGGGACCCTGAGCGAGAGACAAGAGGTGGTATTTATCAGGAAGATCAAACCACTGCAACAATCTTAACCACCACCTCCTCAGAACCCAGCAGAGATAGCCCAAGACCTGAGCCCCAGGAGCCCTGAGAAAAGCAGCACCACTCAGACTACCAAGTCCTATTTCCAGCCTGGTGCCTGTAGCCATTATCCAGAGAAACAACTCTTGTGGAAATGTGACCTGGCAACCCCCTCTGAAGGATTACCCCACCAGAGATTCTGGCACTTGTTTTCTAAATGGTTTGACATCAGAAAAAGATATGGTTTTATCAGTGAAAATGACATTAGAAGATTCATACCATCTACTTTGCTGCTGTACCCTAATAACCATTTACTCTTGCCAACTGATCTAAAACTCAATATTAGAGTATGAGTTCCTTGAAATAAGGGGTTGTCTAGCCTTTCTATTTGTAACCCCCAGTGCTTTGCATAAAGTAAATTCTTAATAAATATTTTTCATTCATTTAATGAGAATCCTCTCTATAATATCTCTAATAAGTGGACATAGAGACTCTATCTATATACCCAAATTAACTCCAAAGGACATTTGAAGGAAAAAATTTTCTGCATCCAGAGAAAAAACTGATAAATAGAAGTAAGTATAGAGTGATGTACACACACACACACACACACATATATGTATATATATTTGGGGTGTGTGTGTGTGTGTGTGTGTGTGTGTGTGTTTGTGTGTGTGTGTTTGTTTCTGTCCAATGGTAGCCATCTCTAGGGTAGGGGAAGGGAAAAAGGAAAAAAAATTTACATGATGATTTTATTATATATTTAAAAAGAATAACAAGTTGTACATAATAGATTTGCAGTTTCATGTGCAATCACCTTTTTAATTATATGATGTTCTGGAACTGCTTGTTTTATTCCATAAATTAAAAATAAAATAAATAAAACATATAAAATTAAAGAAAAAAGACTTCTAATGAACTCACTACCCCCTATTACAATCCATTCCACTTTTGGAGATCTATAATTATTAGTAGTTTTCACTATATTGAGAAGCAATTTGCCTTTCTTCAATACCCATCTATTGCCTGTAGTTTTGATCTCTAGGATAAAATAAAACAAGCCTACCCTCTCTCCCGTGCTACAGCCTTTCAAGTACTTAAAGTTCTGCTAAGTCTTCTCTTCCTCAAGCTTAACATCCCCAGCACCTTCCATCTAGCTTCATAGGTTGTCATTTTCAGTACTCTCATCATCTTTGTTGCTCCCCTTTGGAACTACTCTAGCTTTTGATGTCCTTTCAAAAATATAGTAGTCAAAGGGGCTATAAAACTGTGCATATCCTTTGACCCAGCAATGATGCTATGAGGTATTTATCACAAAGAGGTAAAAGGAAAAAGACCCATATGTACAAAAATATTTATAGCAGCTCTTCTTGTGTTGGCAAAGAATTGGAAACTGATAGGATGTCCATTAATTGGGGAATGGCTGAACAAGTTACGATATGTGATTCTTATGGAAAACAAAAATGAAAAATAAAATAAAAACATAGTGGTCAGAGCAGAATACAATATTCCACATGATGTCCAACCTGAGTAGAGAATAGTAGTTTGGCTTGGTAAGCTTAATAGAACAGGCATACCTATTTCATCTACACACCTACACAAAGAAGACACACCAATTTCTACACAAAATACTATGTCTGTGTTAATGCAGTATAGGGAAAACAGTGATTTAAGTGTTTGAGTGTAGTGGGAATAAATATGTTAACTTGGGATGAGCAACACCATTTTGTCTTAAGGCTGCATGTCATGGCTAAGTGGTTGTTACATACGCTGTAATAAGTTAAGGACTTGAGTAGAACAGTAGTATAGTTCAACAAGGAGGAGTGTAGTTTCCAGATTTGGTAAATCCTGATATGAATATCCCCCAATCTGGTAAGCAATTGTTAAATGTTTGCTAAAGACATTAGATTTGATTGAACGTTTCCTTTCATCATAAGCTAGATAATCAATCACCAATAAGAACTCATTTGTAACTCATAAATGCCCTTAGCCAGAACCATAAAAACTGATGGAAGATTTCAGATATCAACCTATTCCTGGGATGAGACTAGGACAAACTCCTGCATTCCCCACACTTGGAAATGTGAGCATTCTGTGTTTACTTGAGAGCAGTATTAATTGGTAAAGACTTTCCAGATTTCTACCTCAGAGAGGGACATACAGCCTCTGACTGGACAGAG